ACTGCTGAGACAGAGGCTGCACTGGTGCTTGTCTTTAAGATATTGATGCGAAACACAAGCAGCTGCTTGGCAGCACTAATGACGCTGTACGTGGAAGGAGGGAAGGTTGGGAAATAGGTGGAGTGAATGTGTGAAATGGGAGGATGTAATGGGATTGAGAATGAGGGACGAGAGAGTGGGGTAGATGTGGGGTCAAGTTTCATTGAGTGGAGATGATGCAGGGGGTGAGCTGAAGTGAATGGGAATGATGTAGCTCCCCATTGGTGATGGAACGGTTATGGAGAGAGTGGAGAGTTTCCCGTACCAGGGCAGTATGCTTATGACCAGCTCTGGTTTGACAGAAAATGTCTCACTCTGAATCAGTTGGGCGATATTGTTTTCATCGGCTGCACAATGCTGTGTGGTAGCTAACCTGGTTTGTTGCTCCGCACAAAGCTTCGGGTCTTCTCGGCTACAGTCATGCCCTCCCTTCTCTATGCCAGTAAAACGTGGGTCACTCTAATGGAACATTTGAGCCGGTTAGAAACATTCAGGCTAGCATGCCTACTATGCATCCTGTGTTTAACCAGGCTGGATTGTGTGAGGAGCTCACATCCTTGAAAAATCTGGACACATTCCCATCAGTGAGTTCCTCCGGTAGACAAAGCTGCGTTGGCTTGGTCATGTAGTCCTGCATGCCCAGCCACCGCATACCCAAGCAGCTTCTGTTTGGCTGCATAGAGGGGGCTAAACGAGCACGACATGGGCTGGAGAAGAGATTGACTGATGTGGTACAGGAGGTTGTGGAGCTGAGTGAACTTGCCAGCTAATGGTGCTAGCGGTGTCAAGATCGGCCTCCACGGAGGAGGCTCGTGAAGGATGCTACTGGGCAGTTTGAGGCAGTTACCCTCGAGCAACAACGGAGGGCAGAGGAGTGATGCTCAAAACAATGAGCAGCACGCCGGGCGGATAAAATGGAGCAAGTTGGCACAGTAGGGGGTACAGCTGGTGCATCTACCAGTCATCTCAGTCAGCTAACCCATGCCACCTGGGTGTGTCCCAAGACCTCTTGTCAGCGAGCCTTCGACACTTCACGTGGCCTCAAAGTGCACCTGGCCTGGCACAGGCGCCATGGTGACGTCACCGTCACTTAGTGGCGAATGGCGGGTATTGGTATTGGATTGGGTATGATGCAGGGGGTGAGCTGGTGTGAGTGGGGATAATGAAGGGGGTGAGCTGGAGTGAGTGGGGATAATGAAGGGGGTGAGCTGGTGTGAGTGGGGATAATGAAGCGGGTGAGCTGGTGTGAGTGGGGATGATGAAGGGGTGAGCTGGAGTGAGTGGGGATGATGAAGGGGTAAGCTGGAGTGAGTGGGGATGATGAAGGGGGTCAGCTGGTGTGAGTGGGGATGATGAAGGGGGTGAGCTGGAGTGAGTGGGGATGATGAAGGGCGTGAGCTGGTGTGATTGGGGATAATGAAGTGGGTGAGCTGGTGTGAGTGGGGATGATGAAGGGGGTGAGCTGGTGTGAGTGGGGATAATGAAGCGGTGAGCTGGTGTGAGTGGAGATAATGAAGGGGTTGAGCTGGAGTGGGTGGAAATAATGAAGGGGTGAGCTGGTGTGAGTGGGGATAATGAAGGGGGTGAGCTGATGTGAGTGGGGATGATGAAGGGCGTGAGCTGGTGTGAGTGGGGATGATGAAGGGCGTGAGCTGGTGTGAGTGGGGATGATGAAGGGGGTGAGCTGGTGTGAGTGGGGATAATGAAGCGGTGAGCTGGTGTGAGTGGGGATGATGAAGGGGTGAACTGGAGTGAGTGGGTATGATGAAGGGGGTGAGCTGGTGTGAGTGGGGATAATGAAGGGGGTGAGCTGGTGTGAGTGGGGATAATGAAGGGGCGAGCTGGTGTGAGTGGGGATAATGAAGGGGGTGAGCTGATGTGAGTGGGGATAATGAAGGGGGTGAGCTGGTGTGAGTGGAGATAATGAAGCTGTGAGTTGGTGTGAGTGGGGATAATGAAGGGGGTGAGCTGGAGTGGGTGGGGATAATGAAGGGGTGAGCTGGTGTGAGTGGGGTTAATGAAGGAGGTGAGCTGATGTGAGTGGGAATGATGAAGGGGGTAGCTGGTGTGAGTGGGGATGATGAAGGGGTGAGCTGGAGTGAGTGGGGATGATGTAGGGGGGTGAGCTGGTGTGAGTGGGGATAATGAAGGGGTGAGCTGATGTGTGTGGGGATGATGAACGGGGTGAGCTGGAGTGAGTGGGGATGATGCAGGGGGGTGAGCTGGAGTGAGTGGGGATAATGAAGGGGTGAGCTGGTGTGAGTGGGGATGATGAAGAGGGTGAGCGGGTGTGAGTGGGGATAATGAAGCGGGGAGCTGGTGTGAGTGGGTATGATAAAGGGGGTGAGCTGGTGTGAGTGGTGATAATGAAGGGGTGAGCTAGTGTGAGTGGGGATAATGAAGGGGGTGAGCTGGTGTGAGTGGGGATGATGCAGGGGGGTGAGCTGGAGTGAGTGGGGATGATGAAGGGGGTGAGCTGGTGTGAGTGGGGATAATGAAGGGATGAGCTGGTGTGAGTGGGGATAATGAAGGGGTGAGCTGGTGTGAGTGGGGATAATGAAGGGGTGAGCTGGTGTGAGTGGGGATAATGAAGGGTGTGAGCTGGTGTGAGTGGGGATAATGAAGGGGTGAGCTGGTGTGAGTGGGTATGATGAAGGGTGTGAGCTGGTGTGAGTGGGGATAATGAAGGGGGTGAGCTGGAGTGAGTGGGGATGATGAAGGGGTGAGCTGGAGTGAGTGGGGATAATGAAGGGGTGAGCTGGTGTGAGTGGGGATGATGCAGGGGGTGAGCTGGAGTGAGTGGGGATGATGAAGGGGTGAGCTGGTGTGAGTGGGGATAATGAAGGGGTGAGCTGGTGTGAGTGGGGATGATGCAGGGGGTGAGCTGGAGTGAGTGGGGATGATGACGGGGGTGAGCTGGAGTGAGTGGGGATGATGCAGGGGGGTGAGCTGGAGTGAATGGGGATAATGAAGAGGTGAGCTGTTGTGAGTGGGGATGATGAAGATGGTGAGCTGGTGTGAGTGGAGATAATGAAGCGGGGAGCTGGTGTGAGTGGGGATAATGAAGGGGGTGAGCTGGAGTGAGTGGCGGTGATGCAGGGGTGTGAGCTGGAGTGAGTGGGGGTGATGCAGGGGGTGAGCTGGAGTGAGTGGGGATAATGAAGGGGGTGAGCTGGTGTGAGTGGGGATGATGAAGATGGTGAGCTGGTGTGAGTGGGGATGATGCAGGGGGGTGAGCTGGAGTGAGTGGGGATAATGAAGAGGTGAGCTGGTGTGAGTGGGGATGATGAAGATGGTGAGCTGGAGTGAGTGGGGATAATGAAGGGGGTGAGCTGGAGTGAGTGGGGATAATGAAGCGGGGAGCTGGTGTGAGTGGGGATAATGAAGGGGGTGAGCTGGAGTGAGTGGCGGTGATGCAGGGGGGTGAGCTGGAGTGAGTGGGGGTGATGCAGGGGGTGAGCTGGAGTGAGTGGGGATAATGAAGGGGGTGAGCTGGTGTGAGTGGGGATGATGAAGATGGTGAGCTGGTGTGAGTGGGGATGATGCAGGGGGGTGAGCTGGAGTGAGTGGGGATAATGAAGAGGTGAGCTGGTGTGAGTGGGGATGATGAAGATGGTGAGCTGGTGTGAGTGGGGATATTGAAGCGGGGAGCTGGTGTGAGTGGGGATGATGCAGGGGGTGAGCTGGAGTGAGTGGGGATAATGAAGGGGGTGAGCTGGAGTGAGTGGGGATAATGAAGGGGGTGAGCTGAAGTGAGTGGGGATAATGAAGGGGATGAGCTGATCTGAGTGGGGATAATGAAGGGGATGAGCTGGTGTGAGTGGGGATAATGAAGGGGGTGAGCTGGAGTGAGTGGGGATAATGAAGGGGGTGAGCTGAAGTGAGTGGGGATAATGAAGGGGATGAGCTGATCTGAGTGGGGATAATGAAGGGGATGAGCTGGTGTGAGTGGGGATAATGAAGGGGGTGAGCTGAAGTGAGTGGCGATAATGAAGGGGGTGAGCTGGTGTGAGTGGGGATAATGAAGGGGATGAGCTGATGTGAGTGGGGGTGATGCAGGGGGCTGAGCTGGTGTGAGTGGGGATAATGAAGGGGATGAGCTGATGTGAGTGGGGATAATGAAGGGCATGAGCTGGAGTGAGTCGGGGTGATGCAGGGGGTGAGCTGGAGTGAGTGGGGGTGATGCAGGGGGTGAGCTGGAGTTAGTGGGGGTGATGCAGGGGGTGAGCTGGAGTGACTGGGGGTGATGCAGGGGGGTGAGCTGCAGTGCATGGAGGTGATGCAGGGGGGTGAGCTGCAGTGCGTGAAGGTGATGCAGGGGGGTGAGCTGGAGTGAGTGGGGGTGATGCAGGTGGGTGAGCTGGAGTGAGTGGGGGTGATGCAGGGGGGTGAGCTGGAGTGAGTGGGGGTGATGCAGGGGGTGAGCTGGAGTGAGTGGGGGTGAGCTGGAGTGAGTGGGGGTGATGCAGGTGGGTGAGCTGGAGTGAGTGGGCATGATGCAGGGGGTGAGCTGGAGTGAGTGGGGGTGATGCAGGGGGTGAGCTGGAGTGAGTGGGGGTGATGCAGGGGGGTGAGCTGGAGTGAGTGGGGGTGATGCAGGTGGGTGAGCTGGAGTGAGTGGGCATGATGCAGGGGGTGAGCTGGAGTGAGTGTGGATGAAGGGGGGTGAGCTGTAAAAATATTTTGTGCTCATTAACTTTAAACTAAACTCACGTTTTAATGTTAAATGCTGGTTCGTTATTACGTGAGCCTTTGGAATATTAACATTCATATTTTGGCATACACTTCTATTGTTTTCATGTTGCCTTCATTATTTATAAGTAGCTTAGGCCTCCCTGGAAACGGAGACGAAATGTTTTCTTCTGCAATGTAGATAATCGGTCATTGATATGTTTGTCCTGATGCTGTAATTACCCGTGCTTGTGGATAGGTGACTAACCTCTGTTGTGTTTGTTATACAGCCACAGGGTGGGCAGACTTGGGGGACCCCGGGGGCGCCTGTACAAGACCCCTATGGGGGAGCGGGTGGAGCCTACCCTCCCATGGCTGGCGGGCAGTACCCCACCCCTGGGCAGCCACCTTATGGAAGTGGGGGATACCCCCCAGCACCTGGGATGGATCAAGCTGCATGGGGGTACCCCCCACCAGGTGGCGCCGGGGGGTACCCCCCCCCAGGGGGCACGGGTGGATTCACCGCCTACCCTGGTGCTGGTGGTAAGCGCTCTGCATACTTCGCACTGGTGTGCAGTAGGGTACAGATTTCGGGGCTAGCACTGTAGCACAAAGCCGGGTGGCTCGCAGGGGGAAGGTTGCAGAGTTCAAATCCTGGGTTGTATCGGCCCATAATCACTCTTACATAAATAAAATTAGTACAATTTTTCTAAAAAGTCAACAGTCCTTTGGAGAGACTCGCTCTCACCATTGTAATATGTAATTTCTCACCACTGGCTCTGCAAGGCCATAAATGGATCATGGTCACCAGAGCCAGAACTTCTGAATGGCCACACATAGTGCGCTCGCGTGCTCCGTCATTGGTTTTCACTCTGTCCGCTCATTGTTCCTATTTACTTGTAGCAGCTTGAGCTCAGTCCCTGGGTGATTGTGAGCACAATCGTTGCTCCATACTCCTGGCCTTCAGAATTACTTTCTCCGCATATTCCACCTCTCAGTGTTTACCAGTCTTTTAAAATTAAGTCTTTCATGTAAATAGCTCTCAATCTCTCCAAATGGAAACCGTCCTGTGGTGCGGTGTGATGTGTAAGTCGCTTGATTTACCGTGACCCCGATGTCTTCTCGGGTTTGTCTCGCTCGGCTAATTCCACCACTTGACGTGTGACTCCTGTATCGGAGTGAGATTCACTCTGCTTATCGGATATGATATCTGCAGTTAAAAAATTAGGTAATGCAAAGAGGACAAATGGTTCTAATTTACTTATTCGGTAAAATTGTCGGTTTCATTTTAAGGGAAGATATTTGATATTTGCAATACAAATAACACCAGGGAGGCAACGCAGCTGTGGAGGTGAAGAGTGTGTCGTTGCTTCGTCTCTGCATCGCTCCACGTGTGTTTCTGTGCCCGTGCCCCCCGCCCCTCACCCCCCCCCCCCCCCCCAGGCCCTGGTGCTGGCTTCGGGGCCCCGCCGGCTGGGTACCCCGCTGGTTACCCCGGCGCACCCGGGCAACCTCCCATCCAAAACTATGGTGGCGGTGGTGGTGGCGCTCCACCAGGTCCTGCATCTCCCTCATTGCACATTCACACTTCACTATAATAATTACATTTGATATTGCATCGTTCATGCAATACTGCATCTCAAAACGCCGTACAAAACCACAATTTTTTTTAATATATATGTAGTGAGTTCAACTGAGTCGTAGATGTCCTCTTGGAAGCAACACATTTATTTAACACCAACACATGGGGTAACAGAATAACAATCTATGGTGGTGACAACCAGGCTAACTACACTAATTACAACGTAACTAGCTACAACGGACCGGACCACAGCTCGGGTTCAGGTCCACGTGTTGGAGACTCGGTAGAACGTAGGACGTAGGACGTAGACGAAGGTTTTTTCAGGATGAACAACAACGCCGGTCCCTCTTGGGGACCCGGCTTATATTCTCTGCTGTGTGGCCGGCTCCGCCCTTGGCCACGACCACCTTCCAGAATCCTCGAGCAGGATCTGGACCCCGACCACGTGACCACCCCTAGCCCCCACTTGGGGCCCCTTTGTAGGCTTAACTGGTCACGTGTCCTCTCAGGTCAACCAGAGTGCCATGGCCTCGAATAACCTCATTCCTACAGCCGGCACTTCCACACCCTATCATGTAGGGCTGGCACTGCACGCCGAGCATGGTGCCATCCAGCACTATCAATCGGCGCTGACCGAGCCCCTCTAGGGCCAGTACTACACCCACACCATAGTGGTATCCGCGATGTCAATACACCAACGCCGTGCCTCCCGAGGGCCGGCACTACACAGTGGCATCCCGCGATGTCACTACATATATATAGCCTCTCGGAAGACACATGGCACACCCAAAATAAGGTTGACTCAATTTAAGGCTGTAATAAACAAAAAGGTTTTTAAATGGGACTTAAATATTGGAAAGGACTTAAGTTGCTGACTATGGAGTGGGAATGCGTTCCATACCATGGGAGCTGCAGATGGGAAGGCAGAATGCCCATCCCACTGTCTTGCGTTAAATTTTCGGCTGAACGAGTGCAGTGCGATGCTCTCATTCACCACGGGAGAGCGGGAATGTGCATCTGTCTGTGTACTCTCTGGAACAGGGTCCTATCAGCCAGGAATGCCGGGCGCCCCTGGTGCCTACCCAGGGCCTGCTCCACCGGCACAACCCACGCCCAGCCCGGCCCCTGTGCCACAGCCAAACCCCTACCCTGCCCCGGCTCCGGCCCCTGCCCCGGCTCCTGCTCCTTACCAGGTCGGTCACTGGTACCGTTATCTCAACAGCATCTTCATGTGCCATATAAAGTCCCATGTGTTGTAGTGGATGTGTCTTGACATGAGTGGTATTGCCTTGTATCTATAAATACAAAGACAAATATCCCTTGTATAGCCTTTAACAGATTTGGTGCAGGTGCTGTTAGCGAGCACCAATGAAGGCCAGTAACATACCTGTCAACCCCTTATTAGTGCCTATCTCAGTGGAGACCAATTCATACCTTATTGATCATTCATCCTCCAAAGTCCCATCACAAGGGAGAAACACAAACAAAGACAAAATTACGTTACTAAAAAAACTGATGGATGTATACATTTTATAATTGGTGTCAATGATGGTACTTATTATGCTACTGTCTGTGATCTTGCATGCTGATGCTGCTGCTTGCTTGATAAGTGGATGCACACACTCATGTTGTAAATGTATAACAATAAACAGAAAATTATGAAGGGTTAAACACAATACACTATCAAGGGGAAAAAAACCTATTATATTCTGGTACTGGCAAAGGAGGCCTCGTGATGTAAATGCTTACCCCGAGCCCTCATTACTCTGATAGTGCATTGTCTTTGAGTTGTGCGCGTTTTGGCGTCATCTGGTCGAACACCGTATGAGACTAGGCTCTAAGGAAAGCTGTCTCTGGTGTGGACCAATCTATTTCAAGGACAATGCATACATTATCAGAGCATGTTTTTTGTTTGAATTCTGACTGCAGGTATTGTAGTTAGTGTAAACATGATTCCTTGTAAAAAGGTTTCAGTTTTGTTGCCAGAAAAAAGGGGAAAAAAATTATTATTAGATCCCAATCCTGTTTGTACAAATTTGAGGATCAAATTTTTTGGCTGCTACAGGGATCACTACTCTCCACAGTAAAATATAAAAGCTGTCCCACGACTTTTTTGGCCGTATGATTTTTTTGCCTGTGTTAAAACGGCTGTACGCTGTACGGACCTGAACTAAATTTCCCTGTACAAGAATAATGGGTAAACCGTATGGGTTGCCAGGTATGCAGTAATGCCCATAAGGGAGTGGTTGGCCAGCCCCACACCCAGGCCACCTTTGTCTCCCGAGTGCTGTTTTTTACACACTGCACCAGGTGCTCATTTTGTGGAAGTCGACCTAGGGGAGGCCGAGGACCGGTTCTGTTAATCGTCACTCGTGTTGGCCCTGAGCGGGAATCGAACTCGGGTGGCCGGGTTCGTAGTCCAATGCTCCAACCGCAACACTACCGCTCCCGACATGTGCATATGCAGAGTGCGGTACATTCGTCACAGATTCTGAATAATTCCATAGCAGGAGCAGCCCGGGTCACCTAATACACTGATAGGGAGTGAATGGAGAGTAACGTACATCTGCTCTGTTCCCATGCAGCCAACTCCACCAATTGGAGGCATGGCCGGCCTGAGCCTGGGCCCCCAGGGAACAGTGAAGCCGATCGGCAACTTTAACGTCCAGGACGACTGCGAGATGCTGCGGAAAGCCATGAAAGGGCTCGGTGAGCGATGCACAGCCTCATAAGGGCTCCACCTCAAGCCGCTACTTCCTTCTCATGGTGCTGTCATTTGGTAGCCAGTTTTTTCATGCAAATCACTTCTGCTCGCTGGCTACCTGGCTGGCTGATTTGGTGTACGGTGGTGACGTCACCGCACACATCTCTGTGATGCCATCACCCCGCATCCTCGCAGCGTTGAGCCGGGTTCATGCGTTGTGCTGACATCACGCCTCCTGTCCACCAGCTCTCTTCATAGCTCATTGGATTCTTCCAGTCTCAATAAAGATTCTGATGTATCCCGACCAAATGCGTGAGCAGTTCTAGTAACGTAAAATCTTATATGCTGGCAGAACCGTTATAAGCATCCAGGCCGGCTAATGACATTACAATAATACAACTGAGCCTCAGAGAGGGTGGCCTGGACTTGGAGCGTGCTCGCAATGTGAGTGTGATTCACATTTTTTAGGTGTGCCAGGGGAATAGGCTCGTACATGCATTGAGGTTGTAGGATGAATGAGATTGTAGGATGCATATGAGGTTGTAGGATGCATATGAAATTGTAGGGTGTATTTACATTGGTAAATGTAAACTGAAATGTAAACCAATTTACACCACTTTTCAAAGTCTGAGCTGAAAAGGTTTTTTTTTTTTATCTTCTGACGACTGCGGAATAATTTTCTCTTGATCTGATGCTACTTTGAAAATCCTTTTGATTACTTTTTTACATTGGATCATCTGATAAGTGGTCATCTCTGCATCTGTAGGAACCAATGAGCAGGTGCTTATGGACTTGGTGGTGAATCGTTCTAATGCACAGAGGCAAAAGATCAAGCTTACCTTCAAAACCATGTATGGAAAGGTGAGACTACGCAGATAGAAGCACGTTCCCTCATGTTTCTGTACTGCCACAAAATACCAAATGCTACATTGTAATCCTTCTCAGGCTAGTGGTAAACAAATGCATGTGAAAAACACAGTAACTAAACAGACTTCAGGATATGGGTAAAAAAATCTAACTATTGCTTCATACGACAATGCTATTTGAATAGTATTGTATGATTTGCATCATCGTTGAACTGCTCTAAACGCTGCTTTATACAGGTAGGAACAACAGTTCCACACTGCCCACCAGGGATTATTTGTCTGTCGTGTATAGCCACGCCCTCGATTTGTATTTCATAGAGCGCTTCGGGCGGGCTCAGCACCACGTAACGCACTGCCCCACGCAGCTTGCGCCGCGTGACATGGATCACACGAATGCGCTGTCCAACCAAGTTCCTACCTGCCCACTCCGAAGGAATGTGTTTACCGTACCATAATCGTGGATACGGAAGGGATGTGTGTGTGCCACGTGCGTGCTATGTGTTTGTGCTTAGGATCTCATCCGCGACCTGCGCAGTGAGCTGTCGGGAAACTTTGAGGAGATCATGCTGGCGCTTTTCATGCCCACGACCTACTACGATGCCTGGAGCCTGCAGAAAGCCATACAGGTGCGACCGTGGGGCTCTTCAGATGCCCGAGTTTCATACACTCCGCGCAAATGTACAAACCACATCTGCCCCATGGTCGGCATGAAGGTGGTGGCATCAAGTTAATGATGTGTAGTATTCTTGAATGAGACAGAGACTTCGTAGAGGCCACACGCTTTTATTCCAATAACACTAGTCCTCCGGACTCACTGGGGGAACAGTCCAACCACACAACCTAGGGAGGTACAGCCTCCGGCTCTATTCTCATTACTCTCCTTCCCTAGCCTACTGCTACTCTGTTACTCTCCTTCCCTAGCCTACAGCTACTCAGCCCACTCAGGCCCAGCGGGGCGGCATCCTCGAGGCTTGGGGGTCCAGGATCTCCGGCCGCACCTCCTTCAGCTTCTCGTGAGATCGACCCCCTCCGCTCTCCGGGAGCCGTCTTATATCCCCTCTCTCTGAGGGGCGGGGGTGTCTCGGGGCCCTGGCTCTCGCCAGCCCCCTCAGAGCGGTTCCAACCACCTCTCGTCCCTGCCGGTCCGGACCGGTCCAGACCGGTACGTACCTCTCCCCTCGCTTGTGTGACCTGTGTGACCTGTGTCAACCTTGGTGTCAACCTTGACCACCATATCACCCCCCCCATACAGCACGCAGCCATCCCGGCTGCATCACTATCCACATCCCAACCCTAACTCTTGAACCAGGAATTCTGAACACGACAAGAACAATGCGTGAGCCTCAACACAACAATAACAACAACAGAACAACAACAAACACAACTATCCCCAATAATTTACCCCAACCCCCCTGTACACAAGAACACCGCGGACACACCACACCAAAGAACAAGGTGACTCGAACACCCAGGCCCCGCGAGGAGGCAGTGTATCTGCGACAGGTCTCAGGAGAACCTGAGACCCTTCGAACGAGTCCGTGTGGCGGGTCCATCGCCAGAAGCCAGCGTTCCTTGCGGAGGGTCAGGAGGGGCCAGATGACGGGCGTCCGGCACGTCCCGAGGCCCCGGGGACAAAGCCCGCGAGCCGTCTTCCTGCTGGACAGGCAGCCGGCTCGCTTCCCGCTTCTCTGGTGAGACCACCCTAGGTGGACTCACACCTGCAGCATCCGAAAGAATGGCAGGGGGTTTCGGAACAACAAGGGGGTCACGAGGCCCCTCCCCCAACCTGCCGGACATGTCACGCGGCCGGCCCCTGCGAGATGAAGGTGTGTGAGTGCGTGGTGCGACATAGGGCTTCAGGCGCGAGGGGTGCACGTACCAAGAACGCCGTCCGCACGCGACCCTAACACACTGGTCCCGAACGACCCGAACAATGTCGACCGGCCGCTGCCAGGGCCGCAGCAATTTCGATGACGTTGACAGCGGCACCTGCGGGCAGTGCAGCCACGCCTTATCCCCTACCGCCCATTTATACACCGTAACCCGGCGATCATACAGACGTTCATTGGCCCGTTGCCTTGCCCTGGAATTTTCCTGCGCGGCCACCCTCGCCTCGACCAACTTCCGAATATTGAACTGAGCGTGTTCGGACAGTTTCGAGCGAGACGCCGCAGACTGGACCCGCAATTGCACCTCCATGGGGGGGTCGACATCCCTGCCGTACATTAAGTAGAAGGGCGAATAGCCCGTGGCCGCGTGAGGCGCCAACCTATATGCGGCCAGAACTCCGGGAATCTTCAGGTCCCAATCCAACTGTGTGTCGTCTACATAGAGGTAATGGTCCGGTGTAGACGTTCGACCATACCATCGGTCTGCGGGTGGTAGGGGGAAGTCCGGACCTTCTGCGTGCACAAAAGGTCACAAACCTCCCGCAGAAGATTGGACAAAAAGTTCTTTCCCTGGTCGGTTAGCAGCCGTTCCGGGGCGCCCTTATCCAGGACGTAGCCCTGGAGAAACGCCTCCACAATGGCTGCCGCCGACTGGTTGGGGAGGGGCCAGGCCATAGGCCAACGGGTGAAATATTCAACCCCAACCAGCAGGTACTTATTTCCCCGAGCGGTGACAGGGAAGGGACCCAGAATGTCAAGAGCCACCAACTCATTAACCCGGGACACCTGAATGGACTGAAGGGGTGGGCAAGCCGCCCTAGCCGGGTGTTTCCACCGCGCACACTGCGTGCAACTATTCAAAAGGTCGGCGACATCGCACGCCATTCCCGGCCAAAAAAAATCCAATTGCAGTGTAGCGAGCGTTTTGTGAATACCCAAATGCAGGATACGTTCGTGCGCCGCCCACACGGCCCTGCCCCGCAGAGCGGTGGGGACGACGATTTTGTAACGCCCCGAGCTGGCGTCCCATGACATATGGAGACCCTCCCGCAACCTGACAGTACCTATCCTTTCTTGACAATCTCCCCCTCCGCACGACGGCGTAACCTGAGGAGGGAATTGTCTTCCATCTGGAACCGTCCCCATTCGTCCAGAGGCAGATCGAGGAGCGAGTCGCGAGCGACCAACACCTGCGAGTCCCCCTCGGCGACAGGTTCCCTATCGACCACCCCTGCTGCCGCCGCCAAGGGAGAAGCCGGAGCGGTACTCGTGGCCGATTTGCATCTCCCCGAGCCCATAAAACACGCGCACCCATCACCCGGAGGAAGGAGTGACAAGCCATCCGCGTTTAAATGTTGTGTCCCCTTCCGGTACACCACCGTGAACGTGTAGTCCTGTAGGACCTCAAGCCAACGTGACAGCTAGCCGGACGGCTGGTCTATTTTCAACGCATACTGTAGCGCGGCATGATCGGAACGAACCGTAAAATGCCTACCGTACAGGTACGGTCGATATTGTTGAACAAACACGACAATAGCGAGCAGTTCACGGCGGGTGACGCAATAACGTTGTTCTGCCGGAGACAGGACTCTACTGCCGTAGGCAACGACCCGTTCGACCCCGTTGACAACCTGCGAAAGCACCGCACCGATGCCGGTATTGCTGGCATCGGTGTCCAGGATGAAGGGCAACGTGAAATCAGGATAGCATAAGGGAGGAGCTCGGACAAGGGCATCGCGAAGCGCCCTGAACGCCCTGTCTTCATCTTCGCCCCAATGGAATTTAGCCCCCTTAGCCGTCAGAGCATGAAGAGGTTTGGCGATCGTCGCAAACCCCTCAACAAACCGGCGGTAATAGGACGCAAAGCCTATAAAGCTGCGGACTTCCCCCACAGACGTGGGCGTGGGCCACGTTCTTACACAGTCAGTTTTAGCAGGATCGGTGGCTATACCCGTAGAACTGACAACGTGGCCGAGGTACCGCACCGATTCACGCAACAGGAAACATTTCTGAGGCTTAAATTTAAGGTTAGCCGATTGCACTCTGAGAAATACAGCCCGCAGTCTGTCCAGATGTTCCTCAAACGTACGGCTGAAAATAATCACGTCGTCCAGATATATAAGACAAGAGTCCCACTGCAGGCCAGCGAGGACCAGTTCCATCAATCTCTGGAACGTCGCTGGAGCTGAGTGCAATCCCATGGGCAACCGATTGAACTGATAAAGGCCCTGTGGCGTACGGAACGCGGTCTTAGGTTTGGAAGCATCATCCAAGGGCAGTTGCCAAAACCCCGACAAAAGGTCCAAGGTTGAAAAATACCGTGCCCCCGCCAAGGCATCGAGCGACTCGTCCATGCGAGGGAGCGGATACGCGTCTGCCAGCGAAACCTTGTTAAGCTTCCGAAAATCCACATAAAACCTCAAACTGCCATCATGTTTTTTAACAAGCACAATCGGCGCACCCCATGGGCTGTTGGAGGGAGCCACAATGTCTGCGGCAAGCATGTCATTCACTGCCAACCGGACATGTTCCTTCTCTGCCGGACTCAATCGGAACGGATTTTGCCGAATGGGAGCGGAATCCCCCGTATCAATGTGGTGTTTCAATAGATTAGTGCACCCAACATCGAATTTGTGTTTGCTAAAAACATCGGGAAATTCACGAAGCAACATGCGCAGCTTTAATCTTTGTGACTCTGATTTTCAGCCCCTGAACAGAGAGAATCCATCCATGCCTCATCGACACCCACCTGCGTCCCGAATGCCGGCGCCTCACCGACATGAGCCGCGACGGAGTCAGTGTGCAGCGGCAGCGACGCATGTGCAATGACAGCCCCTCGGTGCACGACCTTCGTCCGCAACCCCGCATTCAGCACCTGAATGAAGGGCTGTCCATCTCTAGGCACAAGCGTTTGTGCACCCACCAGGTCCAACCCTCGCTCGGTCGTATTGGAAGGAGACAACAAAACCCCCGACGTAGCGTCTGCCTCCAGTGGTTTGCGTAACTGAAGCGGTATTAGCATCTGCGCACCCGGCGGAATCCACACGGTTTCAGACGCCATAGCCGGAACAGTCGTGCAAGCTGTGCGCAGCCGGTTTGGTGAGGGCAGAAACGCCATCCGGCGGCCCGAAGGAAGCTCGATGCAGCCTTTGTCAATTAAAATTTTGATGGGCATCCTCCCCAAGAAGTCCGTACCCAACAAACAGGGAACGGCCAAGGCATCGGAAACCAAAACGGGACCAGATAATTTAATGTCGCCAATACAAATTTGTGCAGTTATTTGGCCAATAATCCCCAGGGAACCCCCATTCGCCGCAAAGCAAGGGACGGAGAACGGGGTTAGTGCCTGACATCTCTTTGGTAACACGGTTGTATATGAGGTCGGAAATTATAGTAGCCGAAGCCCCCGTATCGACCAACAATCGAAATTGAATTCCCTCAATATCCCCGAGAATAACCGACGAGCCCGTCGCTGCGGCCACGACCCTGTGGGCCAACTCGGACCACTGAACTGCGCGAAGTGGCCCCCGAACATCAGCCCCGTTCCGCTCCCCACCCCTCAACGCAACGCAATTTAGTGGCGCGCCGATTCGCGGTGTATGCGGTGTATGCGGTGTATGAGATGCGGGCAGGGACCGTGTGCGTGAGGTGTCGCGACATGCCTGGGGTTCTTGTGGAGCGGCCGGCGGACGGGCGGACGATGGTGGACGACCCGGAGCCCGGCGCCGGGGTGCTGG